TGTCGTCCACAGTCTCTGTAAAGACTTCGCAATTTACAAACGGAGACTATTTTAATGGGAATCTGTTCAACGAAAACAAGAACGGTTTGTACCATAACGTGAACATTCAGGTGCCATCAGTGCCTCCGAGTCCTAACGCCCGAAGACGTGCATTCAATTTCCAGCCAATTTCGCCCCGAAATACGCCCACAATTCCAGAACACTCTGTCGCCGATGCGATCGGTTATAACGGCTTTAGTTATGTTAACAATACAATGGGTTCGTCGCCTCAGTATCGGGTGAATCAGCACACAGTGGGTGTCGGGCCCTCCCAACCGCCGAGCGAGGCTAACAGTCCGTTTGTGTCGCCTCGCAGTACACCCGTTACACCGATTACTCCCATCACACCATTACCTCTAATCAGATCTCGTCATAATAGCGGTCAAAGCAATTATAGTACTTTACGTCAAACGCCTCTCCAAACCCCTGTCGACTCCGGTGTTTCATCCATTTCCAGTTCTCCATTCATTTCTCCGCTTTCGACTCCACTTCCCGTAAGTCGAGTTCGCGCCCAAACCGTCGGATTTCAGCGCAACATGAGTCGAGCCCGTCATAGCTCCGGACCGGGAGGTCCGACAACAACGAGCGCAATGGCAACACATTTGCTCTTCAATCGAAGCAATTCGTTGTCACCAATGATTGGCGACACTTTCACTCATGGATTGCATTTCTTACCATATAATGACACAAATTCTCAAATGACTTCTTTGGTATCCAATACTACCGCTAATAATAAGGGTATTTCTAAGACTCCGGGCTCTCCCCTGTCTCCCATCACCTCTCTTCACACCTCTGATATGAATGCGTTGACCAGTGATCCGATGAATGGCAGCTCACCTCTGGTTTATAACCCGGAGAGTGATTGGACGTCAACCCGAACCAAGAATGGGATGAATGATAGTGTGGTTGTCAACAGACAGAGACACCATTCAAACCCATATACCAGTGCAACCGCTTCTGTCACTCCAAACAATTTGGAACACTTCTCGCCGGAGATCTTCTCGTATATGAAGAACTCAGTGAATGGCATGCAATCGAATAAGTCGTTTCTACTGAATCGCTGCCAATCGGTTCCGATCGCAAACATCTACTCAAACGTCGGGATTGTGGCCAAAAATGGTTGTCATTTGTCGCCATCAAATAGCGTGGATTTGAGCCATCAATTGCTTGATGAGAGCCCGTGTCTGTCCAAGTCATACCCGGCGACACCGGTTTGCACTCAACCCTTTCAATTCCCTCCATCGCCTCCGCCCTCAACCAAACAACAGATGGCTTTCGGTGGCGACGATATCTCAGGGAATGTGTTGCAGAGCGGTCAGGACCTGATGGTGTCCGGCGTTCAACTCAGAGACACCAGCGCTTGGAATCCAACCATTGCCAGCACTCAGGCTAATGACACCGATTTGATGGCAATCACTGTCACTAACATGGGATCCAACTCTTCGAACGTGAGGCGCAATCTAAACGATCTGTTGGCCGAACCTCCCGATGACTTACAGACAACTCTTGAGGACCTCCGGGACTGTGATAACGATTTCTCCAAATTTGCCCAACAGTTAGAACTTGAAGCAAATGATTGCAGTTATGATGACTTGACTTGAATTCAATTCACTTCAATCGCCACTTCTCTTACAAAAAACACTCATTCAATAACTCTTTCATTATTACCGCAATTCTTATATTATGTTTACTATAATAACAATCCATTAGTAAAGACAAAAGCCTTTGAATTGATAATAGGCTTTGAGTTGAGATGTAAACTAGACTTGACTTCAAGTTTGATTCTCCAAAGGGCTCGTGATATCTAACAAATGTTTGAGATTTTGTGCATTTTTGTCACCAAATCACAAGTTATCATAAAAACCATAAACATTACGTCAGCCATCCATTAGTCCATTCCTTTTCAATAGTTATTCGGTTAACACTTATTTCACATCTCATTGTTTTAATACTTATTGTTTGAATTCAATAATAAGTGTATCATTTATAAGAGTCGTGTTTAGGTGAGGCTTATATGAAAATGATGTGTGCATTAGGACGAGCTATGATGTGTGTGTCTGTGCCACCACTTTAAGCAATTCAATTAATCCTTTCAATTGATATACACTTTACCGATATTTTATTATTATTGTTAATGATTTTATCACTGCATTTGAATTTGAATAATGATTTTCATCATTTAATTATTTGTGACACAAAAGTACTAATCGTCTGATTATATGTGATGTTAATGTTTAGTCTGTTTACAGTATACTCAGTAAATAATATGAAGACACGAACTCATGAGTGAAATTGTATTCAATTGAAAGACATTAATGTATTGCTCGTAAACTTAACTGATTTTTAGATTATAATCGATGATTGACTGGATTTAGTAATTTTATTCAACAATTATTTATGAATTTTTGTTTGAATTGTTAGTGAAAATTGAAGTAAATCTCGTCTTTCACAGGAATTGACTTTATTTTGAGAATATTTTCATACCTTTATATATTCACTCATATCTTACACTTCAGTATTCGTTAAAGTAGTTTATTTTAATTGATATTAAATAAGATTTATTTAAAAATCTAAACTTAATATTAATTATGTTTTTAATTGAAAATCAAATCATTGTTTGAAATTTAAGTAGATTTTAGTTACGAAAGAATACAAAGAAATTGATATTTAAAGATAATTCAGAGATCATGTGAACTAAAAAAACCAAATCAAAAATTTTGTAGTTTTATTTAAATCCAGTTTTCAATAGTTTTTTATAAGTCATCCGAAAAGTAAAAGAAAGATATTTGAAGAACAGATTAAAAGGTTTAGATATTTGATAACAAGAATTATTGGTCAAGTTTTTGGACGTAAATGTGGACTAAAAAAGTACAAAAATGAATTCAATTGAATGATTGAATGCAAACAAACCAATTATACGCTCAATAAATGGCGTATTTTCGATATAATTTGCTTTTATAAACTTGGATGCAATGGTTGGGTCAGACCTACTAATGTTGAAGAGCTGGTGATCTCATAATAGCTAATTAATTATATCGCTTTACAATACTATCAGACCTTTCAGATCGATTCCCAAAGCGAAACAAACACTTAATTTCTTACGTTTAACTGTAATCTCATTGTTATCTTGTGTTTGTTTTTTACATAAAAGCAATTATGTTTTTATTAACATAATTTGCTTTTCCATCCAAAACAAGCTATCATTGATTGCGTAACAATTGATCGATAGTTTGTGTTAGTTTTTCGCAACTTTTAGTTTTACGCTATTTATCCCAAAATGAGTTTATTATAAAAACAAATACAAACAAAATGATTGTCATCACTAAACACGAGCCGCTCTTCAAATGGATTTCTATAACAATATATTTGACACAAATATATGATTGGAAACTATTTTTGAATCATTTCAACGCAAATCAATGTTGAAAACGCACACATTATTACAATAAATACTTTTATTCAATTCTAGTTATTATACAACATATTTAGTATTTGTTTAACAAATTATCATAATTATGGGTAAACTTTGTGTTAATATCTGTTATAATTCTTTTCCAATGAATATTCTGCTAAAAACATTCAAAAGCATCGCTGCTCTCAATACGTGATTATAATAATAATTATTATTAATTATTAGTCTCTTTTAGTCTTTTCAAAATTAATATAATGTATATTATATTTAGAGCTTCTCTTAAAACTCGAAATAAGCGAATATTTGTAGTTATTATTAAGAAATACTAAATATTTTTCAGAAAAACATGTTTTCCAAACACTCATTCACTTGATTGACGCAAAAATGACTCCACTTTTTATATGTTTTATTTTTAAATTTAGTTTTCAATTATTTTTTTTGTTATTTGCATATATTTTATAACAAAACAAAATACACACAACACTTAAACACAGAATACAAAAGCATAACATTAATTATTACAGCAAAATCGTTATATACATGTATTAATGATCCAAATTCTTGCCCTAAAACTAATGTATTTGTCTAATAAGTTAAACAAATCTATTCTTTTATATACCAATCAATCTGTCATTTAATTAGTCGTCAATTATTGTCACAATTATTATTATATTACTATTAATGCTATAAATATTCTTATAATTTGTTATCACTTTATGTTTTAAAAATTAGGTTTTAATTAACAAATTTATATAAAATATATATAATTTTGATTTAATTATTTGTAAATTCATTTCATTTTTTCATACATTTTTCTATACAACAAAAGGGAAGCAAATTTACAGCACTTTTTATCAATCAATTGCTAACCGATGTCTGGATTCGATTATATTTAGAGCTTCTCTTAAAACTCGAAATAAGCGAATATTTGTAGTTATTATTAAGAAATACTAAATATTTTTCAGAAAAACATGTTTTCCAAACACTCATTCACTTGATTGACGCAAAAATGACACCACTTTTTATATGTTTTATTTTTAAATTTAGTTTTCAATTATTTTTTCAGTTATTTGCATATATTTTATAACAAAACAAAATACACACAACACTTAAACACTGAATACAAAAGCATAACATTAATTATTACAGCAAAATCGTTATATACATGTATTAATGATCCAAATTCTTGCCCTTAAACTAATGTATTTGTCTAATAAGTTAAACAAATCTATTCTTTTATATACCAATCAATCTGTCATTTGATTAGTCGTCAATTATTGTCACAATTATTATTATATTACTATTAATGCTATAAATATTCTTATAATTTGTTATCACTTTGTTTTAAAAATTAGGTTTTAATTAACAAATTTATATAAAAAATATATAATTTTGATTTAATTATTTGTAAATTCATTTCATTTTTTCATACATTTTTCTATACAACAAAAGGGAAGCAAATTTACAGCACTTTTTATCAATCAATTGCTAACCGATGTCTGGATTCGACTCCATTTCGCTGTCTTTTCAATCGCTTATCGTTTATTGCACTCAACAAATGGCTTTGTATTGTAGTATAAAATATCATTATATAAACCATAACAATGTCTTCCATTACTTCCATTCACTTTACGCTTTCAATCAAACACTCAATAATATATAATAATTATTTTTAAATGGTTTAGAATTACAATCAGACAACAAATTCGTTCATTAAAATGTCGTTTCCTTATAAATCACTTCATTTCAGTAAATATAATATTAGTTAGAATTAGAATTAATATATAAAAGTGAGAATCAAATTGTCATAATTAAAATTTTGATAAGAAAATTGTTATAAACACTGCACTAATAGTAAACTAAAATGAGTGGAAATATATCTAAAAAGTAGACAAAGTTATAGAAATAGTTAGCCCTATGAAGACCTATGAAGAACACGAAACTTTCAATTTGTTTGCCCAAAGAGGAGGTCTTTTGCAGTAGTGTTTGTCGCCATCGGTCTCATCGGCGCAATCATTGTACGGATTTTGTAACACTTTTAGCAAATTATTAACACCACTGAAGTCTCCATTGTCTGCCTTTTCGATCGCCTCTTTGGCCAAATAGTTTCGCAAAACATATTTCGGGTTATTTTCGTTCATTGTTTGAATGCGTGTATTGTTATAGTCTTGCAATCGTTGCGAATCGTTGGCAAACTCTTTCACGTCGTGTTCAATACGAAGAATATAACTCTCTAACCACTTGTCCCACTGCTCTGTGTCTTCTTCTCGCTTCTGTTCAGAATTCATTGTCTGAAAGTATTTCACATAGAAATGAGTAAAACGTAAAAGTGTTTACATTTATCATTAATAATGATTCATTATATCTGAGACTTACCTTCAGTTCCTTTGTCTTCTCAATCTTTGCCAAAACCCGTTCTATAGCTTTGGGTCCTTTGCCTAACATTTCCAAAAGCTGTGGATTTGTTTGCAATAAAACGAGAAATAATTGAAATTCTTGCGAATCGAAACTGGATTCGTTGGCATCGATTATCTCCTCCAAAGAACTGCATTGCGATAAGAGTTCAGTCTTTAAGTGATCGATACTCTGCTTATGGTCGGGTAAACCGCTACTCATTAATAGATTGAGCGCTCGAAAGCTATTTGTAAAATCGGCGCCCGTTTTCTCCATTGTATTGAGAAATGATTGGATCAACTCTTCGTCACTTAATAGGTCTCTACTAGTCTTGTCCACACTTATAGTTAATCCCATTTTCTTCAACATCTTATCCCTGTATTCGGTGTTATAAGTGTTGTAATAATTATTGTCGAGAATCTCTTTCGTTTCATTCAATGGCACAATCGGTTGAAGCGCTTCCGCGAACTTCGAGAGATTCCATTTGCAGATCTCTGGCTGTTTGGCGTAGGAATAGCGGCCGCCGTCATCCGAGGTATTGCACACGTGATCCCAATCGAAACGGTCCATAAACCCGAACGGACCGTAATCTAAGGTCAGACCCAATATACTCATGTTATCGGTGTTAAGCACTCCGTGACAGAAGCCTATGGTCTGCCAAAATGCAACCATTTTTGCCGTCAGATTCACCACTTCTTTGTAAAACAGTTTGCATTTCTCAACACTCGATATATTCTTCTGGTTATGAATGTCGGGGAAAAACGTTTCAATCGTGTAGTCAGTTAGCGATATCAGAATATCTTTACGGCCAACACTCGGCCCCCGACGACCAGTCATTGGATCCACAGTTTTAAAGATTTCAAACGAACCAAACCGTATGAAAGTGGGGGCGAGTCTTGAGATAACGGAACAGTTCTCAAGAGTGGGTTCTCCCGTATAAAACATATCGCGAACCACTTTGTCATCGGAGAGGATACAAGTGGCCGCCCGAGTGGTCGGAGCGCCCAAACTGTGCATCGCTTCACTGCACAGATACTCTCTGACACTCGACCGCAACACTTTGCGTCCGTCCGCCTCACGTGAGTATGGCGTCAGACCCGCGCCCTTCAGCTGCAGTTCCCATCTCTGGCCACAACTGTTCACTATTTCGCCCAAATATATGACAGCGCCGTCGCCTAACTGTCCCGCAAATGTCCCTAAAAAAGTGATCCAAAGAGTTCAAAGTAATGCCAAATCGGGTGTCATTTTAATTACCGAATTGATGGCCACAATAGCAATGGGAGGCCGTCTCCGATCCGGCCATCAGTTTGTTTCCCGACATGTATTCAACGAAATCATGTTTCGCCACCTCTTCGTCGTCGATATCAATCAGATTTAGCGCAGACTTTGAATACGAGACGAGCCGTGGATTAGACAGCGGAGTCGGTCTGAGCCGAGAGAAACAGGCGTTGTCTACAGTCCGCACGTAATTGTCTTCAATCGGATCCAACGGCAGCCGTCGGAGGGCTTTGTTGTCAAAGACTAGAGTTTGCAAAGTTTTGGCCATTTGTGTCAATGTTGTCGTGTATTGTCTCGATTTGCACACAATTAACGCATTCATCAATTGGTCACCAATTGGTGTGAAATGTGGCCCAAAATGAATGTATGGTTTGAATGGAGACTCAAATCAATGTGTAATCAAAGAGTGTTTGCAATGAATTGAACGCAAACTTAATGTTTACTAAACATAACTGTATTTGTGATTCGCATTCACTTACGGGTCGTTCGCAACAAACGTACGCCTGTTTTGGGGCGCAAACAGAACCCCTGGGCGTCCACTGGTCTGAGCGTACGATTGGTTGGCTTTAATGAAGTGACGGATTGTGTGAACAGTTTTGACGTATTATTGACTGCAAAACATCTGATGTGTTGTTGTTTTGTGTGATTCAGTCATTCAGTCATTCATTGATCGCTTCGCCAAAGACTTCACTTCACGTCATATTATTATAAATACATTTGACTTTCATTTGATTCAAAAACATTTCAAATTGTTTTTTTGTTGCTTTCGTTGAACTGAGTGTCCATTGGATCCACTGAATCGACTGCAAGACAGGACAACAATATGGGAGTTATCAGACATTTCAACGCCAATCTCAGCAACGACTCGGATCTCATTGAAGACATTCTCGATAAGTATGTGTCCATCAGTTGACCACTCGATGTCTTGGTATGTGTTTTGACTGTCATTGATGTGTTTGTGTCCACAGTTTACTCGATGGTAATGATAGTGAAGTGGAAGGGGTTGTGGAGGGAAGTGGTGTCCGTCGGAGACGCGACAATCGGAACCGTTTGCGACGAAGTCGTCTCTTAAGACCTGAGCCCACGTTTCGGGCGTTGGGTTTGAGAGGAAAGGGCCGTAAAAAGCATCGAAGATATGCTGATTGTATGCATTGTTTACTTGTCTTATAGACTAAGTTAGAGTATTGTTATTCACAATGACTTGAATTGAGTGAAAGTTTGCACAAATCATAAGCTATTCATTGAATCCGCGATTCAAGTGATGACTAGTTTTTGTTGATTTATAGCAAACCTATTGTCACAACAATACGAATCCCTCTCCGATGGAGAAGAACTGAACGATATATCCATTTATGACTTCATTCCGCAGACGGTCTCAGCCTTCGCTCAAATTCTCCTCAAAGAGGATAATATGAAGGCATTGAATGACATCATTAACTGCACTGAAGACCAACAAAACCAACTCTTGGCTCAAATGACCAAAAAGCGAAGCAGAGCTCAAAGTGAACGCAAAGCCACTGACGATGACATTACTGACGGTCGCATACGTGAGACCGCATTCAATGCCGACCAATGCTTCAAAAGAATTGATTCCGACCTCAAGAGTACACTGAAGAAGAAACACTTACCACTCGTATGTCATTTAATCATTAATTTAGTGATAATTATAATTGATATGAATTGAAATGAAGGGAGTTTTGGCATCGATTGAAGAGGAGATCTTGAAATTCTTCAGTAAGAATCCGCTCCAAACCTATAGATCGTGCCTTCAAGACGGCTATCGACGGCTATTACTCCACGCCTGCTGTCAATACCTGGACCTCAAGTGTCTCAGTATGTCTTTGAATAGCTTTTCATTGAATGTGTCTCTAAATGCAACAAATGTTTAGGCTTTGACTCCAACGGCGAGCGCTGGTCGAGAGTTAACAATCCCAACAAGTATTTCTCTCAGCCATCAGTAATGCTCACCGAATACCTGGAGAATCGTTTCGCCACTTCTTAACGATAGTATTTTGTACCAAAAACTTGTTTACTATAAGTATAAGACAAATGTGTAAAACACTGCCTCAATATTTGTTTGGTTTTATTTCGTTTAATTTTGTTGTTTTCTTTTAGTTAAAATATTTTATTTTCTCAAATATTTCATCACTTTTTTGAATGTTTTACTGTATTTAATATAATATTTAACATATTTTTTGTGTTTTACAAGTGTTTGTCTGGTTTGTAACTAATTGTAACGTTTAATAGATTGGTATCAATTAAATAAAATAATGCATTGAATTCATATGAACTTTGATCCCACTTTTGCTTAAATCTCATAAAATGACGATAAAATAGATAACAATTTATTAAAATAACTGTTTATACGATAAAATAGTATTAATTATCAGCTAATACTTTGAATTAAATAGCTTTGTTTTATAAAAAAATATTAAATATATAAATAAATTCGTTTGCGTCTATCCTTTATTGCCGAGTATTTTATAGTATTTCCCAAATCATACACTTTTGGTTTCGCCGTGAGATATAACTATGAATTCATTTTCATCCAAATTGTGTTCCTTTAACGAAGTTTTCAGTTTCATCGGTGGCTCTAAATAGTACTTCAGTTCACAAATAAATTCAATTAGTTATCAGTTTTATATTGATTTCAATATATGGTGTTCACCTCATGAGCCAAAGCAAATGTTCCCCAATGTATTCCAACACTCAATTTACTCCTTATGTCTTCATGTATTTGTACGGCTTGTTCGGGGTCTACGTGTTGGGGCTCCATAAGCCATCTGGCAATCAATCACAAATAAACATACATGAGCAATTTGTATTATGACATTACATAAAGCTATAGTTGGAAATTGTCTGTAAATGTTTAGCATAATCAGTAACTATATAGAGGACATACCGGGGCTCATAGGCGCCGATCGGAATGGCAGACAAATCAAACGGACCGTACATTTGTCCGATTTGTTTGAATACAGAACAATATCCGGTATCGCCAGCGAAAAAGAAGCGATGTTTGGGTCCGACGACAGTCCAACTGCCCCACAGAACCTTCCGCTCATCGGATAGACTCCTTCGGGTCCAGTGTTGGGCTGGCGTTAGGATGAATTGAATGTCGGGCTTCGATGGTATACAAGTGCTTTGCCACCACTCGAGCTCTATTACGTTGTGAGTGACGCCCACGTCTTTCATCCACTCTTTGAGTCCGGACGGCACTAACCAATAAAGATCTGAACCGAAGCGAGCATTCAATGCCTCAACACTTCCCGCATCCAAATGGTCGTAATGGTTATGACTGATCACTACGGCGTCTATCTTTGGCAGCTCAGCGACAGTGGCGGCCGCCTTCCTATATCTGGCCGGACCTATCAGTTGAGACATCGATGCTCTCAAACTGAATATCGGATCCGTTAATAAAGTGATGCCATCGAAATGGATGACAGCCGTCGAGTGACCGATCCATGACATCGATATACGGCTTTCATCGAAGTTAAAGTTTGGTTTAAGTATCGGAAGGGTTTGGTTGAGAGCCTATTGGTTAACAAAGCATTCATTATTTACAATTAGTTTTAACTCTTTTTTATATTCTCTTTATTTATTGTGAATTTATTTAAATGATATTTTTATGGTATATTATTAAAACCATATGAATGTGAATCGGATGTCAAAATATAAATTGGTTCACAAATCATATGCTATTTTCAGTTACAAAATTGTATAAAACTTATAGAGTAAACATTTTTAAGCGAAACATGAAACATATTTTTAATTTTCAGGAAATGTGTAAATAATTGAAAATATGTCGACAAATGAAACAAAACAATAAACACAATTAAACGCTTCCGTAATTGAATTCATTGAAACCAAATTCATTGCAAATTATTTACGGAATTGAAAACTATGTAAATTTAATTTCATTCAATCACATCAAAGGAAAGCATGATTGCCTACAAATTCTAACTAATATTTTCTAAACAAATATTGTAAATAAGATATTATGATTATTCCTTCAATTGTCACTAGAATTTTATAATTTTCATTATAAAACAAAAAACTAATTAAAATATAATAAATATAT